CGTGTGCATATTACATATGATTTTTTTTGTATGTTCGTTTCCAATCCCAGATTTTGCTTTAATCAAGTTTATATTTAACATACAATATTTTACTTCGCACGCTAAATTTAGGTTAAATAGGTCGCAACTCTCATCGAAAATTTTTTGTTTATTCGTATTCTTAATGACACGTCAAAAAGTAATCCTGAAGCTGTAATTTTTATAAAATAGTGAAACAGCAACAAACGTATTGATCAGGAATCCCAATGTACATTATAATCGATTACAACATACCATTTTTTGTTCAATTCAATACTATTCTTGGGAAATAGATTAGATAAGATAAAGAAATGAACGGAAAATAAGGACAAACTATTTTCAGAAATTGGCAGTGTTCAAGCTTCTTTTATCTTCGTGTTTCCACAAATATTGACGTGGACAATGGATGTTTGAGCAGGACAATTCTAGAGAAAATGGAGCAAAATTCGGTTGAGATGATGAAACGAATTCGACGCATCGATTTCGTTATTTTCGGATTATAAATATGCATGGTTTCGAAGGAGAGACCATACTTGTTATTTTCGTTTTGTTTTCAAAGCAAGGTACATGCATGGTCGGTGAATCATGGGTTCTGCTGCACTTCTTTCATTGTGCCTTAACCATACTAACGTCCGAGCCTGAAAATTACTCACAGCCATTCCACCGAAAAAACAAATTAAAGTTTCCGTTTTATTATGATTCAATAACGGATCTGGTCTAAAACGGGCGATTTATATATACTTCTTCAAATCTAAATAAATTTATTTTTAAATTATCCTAACAAATCTACTTTTAATATCAAGGAAAAAACAGATTTTTATTTTTTATTATGAAAATTATACTATTTTCTTTCAGTTTATATTAACTAAATATTTTCATTATTTCCATATTCTTTCGTATTAAAATATACATATTTCGTCCTAATAAATGAATTGTTTTTTTTTATTAAATATAACCTAATGGTGTTTTATACATATTAAAAAAAACAAATTCACTATTACATATTAGCTTATTAGCTTACAAATTATAAACTTTAACATGAATAATCATAGATACAAAAGGATATGAATCATTTCATATTATTGTGCAATGACTACAAATCGTAAAAATAACGGAGATAATCTAAATTGGAACATATCTGTTTCATGACACATTTCACACATTTGGTATTTGTTGATTTTATTATTACAAGACTACATGAACTATCTGGTGAATTCGATATATTTTTTTTATTATAAATAATAAATTTTAGTTTATTTTCAACAGAACATAATTAAAAAAAACAGTGTCTTCTGTTTATATTTAAAGTTTGATTATATATTTTCCAAATTTCCATTTTAAATATATTTTCGTTTGCAAATTTTCAAATTTGCTTCCATCAATATAGGATTTTGTTGTATTGCTTTCTAACAGCTAAAAAAAACTTTTAGTAAGAGAATATAATGTGATATTTGAGGAGTCGAAAATAGATATGAAAAATACTGAAATACTGAACACATTTTGAAGCTAAAAATATTTCTATTTACTAAATTACTAATGTAGGATATTATATAATTAGAATAAAAAACTTATCTTAAATATAAAACTTTATTAAAAGTTTATGTTGATGTTAGAAAGAAGCTTTCAATAGATGAAATTTCAAAAAAACTCAAGAAATGAAATAAATGTTATATTAAAATATGAAATAATCAATATTTATTGGCGAATGCTAATAAAATTTTCATTAATTAACATCAGTTAAATTTCTTCGGTGATTTTAACGTAACTTTCGATCAAGAAATTAGTGACTCATTCGTACACAAAAGAAATGTTGTTTTCACATATAAAAGTTAATCAATACTTCACTTAGTACGTTTAAATGAAGCATTTGATCGAATAATTTAATGAATCGAGAAATATTTTCAAATACAAAACAACTTTCAATATTTATATATCAATTTATAATTTGTCATATATTAAATAATAGTTAACAAACCTATGGATGCTTTCCAGTAAACACGGAGATTATACAACATTTGTTATTGAATGTATGTTGTTGGGGATTTGAAATTCGTGAAATACATGACAGAGGGCCAACATGGAGTCATATTGTACTGTGCACATTGTATAATGATCGTGGTTTTCGGTGATTAATCCCTGAGTCACGTCCCGATGGGGGAGGAAGTGAGGAGAACGCAATCTAATTATAAAACGGTGAGCACTTATTTCCCTCGGAGACGTCGAAACTGGCGAAAAGAGAAAAAGACCACGCGTATACAAATAACGAAACAACGACCGTTGCGACGCGTAACTCTTCTATAATTAACCGACGGTGCGTTATTTCGGAACGGCGGGGGCGCACCCAAATTACACGATAAAAAATATAGTGTAAAGAAAACGAAAACTCTGCAGTAAAAATAGACCAAATTTTTCTGAACAAAAATGTATGTCAAATATGCTACACTGTTATTTTTTTGTTTAATTACAAAGATCATAATATTATTAACTAATAAAAAATAAATACTGCATTTAACACTGATTTCATTTAATCAAATTACCCTCGGTGAAATGACATTGAGAGATTAGAGTATTGATTTTGTTCGTTGCCACGCAACGTAAATTATTGCACAACTAGCAATTATTGTAGCAATGTTTATTAAAAAAATATGGAATCATCGACAGTTATTATTCAACAGTGATTCAATTTGTTCAAATTAACTATGACTCTCATTTAAAATACTCTTGACAGTTATAAATTGTAGCAGTTATTTTTTGTTTGGTACGAAATGTTTATTATTATATATCAATTCTAGTTGAAAACATTTCTTATTTTTATTTTTAGTTCCATTCGTACCAAATGTCGCTTAACTATTGCAAAATTATTAATTTAATTAATAATGTTGAAAACCACTTTTCAAAATTTTAACAAAATTATTATGATAGATTGACTTGAAAAGTTGACTTTTGACAGTTTAGATTTGTAGGTTATATTAACTAATTATAAATAATTTGTATGTGCTCAATTATGTAATTAATATTTTATATGGTAGAAAATATTTTAAAAATTATACTTATTGATTTTTGACATTGTGTGACATGGACAAAGGGTGACGCACTATAGATGTGCTTGCCTCTGATTGGTTCGCATTCGAATCTCGAAGGGAACGACGCCAACGCGTTTTTTTTTCGCTCCAACTTAATTGGCCGATGTATTTATATACCTCTTCAATTTGACCTAATTACAGTTTCCACTAATTCTATGCGCGTTCGTTTTATCGATTGTTTGTCAGAATACGAAAGCAAAACAACATTCTTTCTGTTGCTTTCTGATCATCCCCACATCGTTCAAATCCAAAATAAATATAACATAAATAGCAAATAAATCTTCAACCTAGCGAGATTTTTTTAAACTAAATTATTTTTTCACATTGTTTACATTGTTTTTACAAATATTGGAAAAAAAAACTAAAAACGAAAGTTTAATAAGAGATTAATCTTGTTTTATTTTTTGATGACCATTAAAGGCTAATTTAAATGTTTACGATTATTCGTATGCATTTTAAAAAATGAAATTAAAGGTTATTTTTTTATAATTCTTCAATTAACAGCACGTTAAATATTCACACCCTCGCAGTTTTATGTGCGTTAAAACCGGTAATTACATAATTACATTAGTTTCTACTCAATCAATTAACTCGTAACCAGACCGAAGCTCATCAACTGTCAAACGGCGTTTAAATTAAAATGCGTACGCGTCGTGGCAATAATGCAACGCATGCGCACTAAACCGTTCGACCTTGAACGCTAACTTTTAAACTAACTGCGTTTATAATTTACATGAGTAATTACAGAATTTCATTCAATTTCAGTCGCTAAAAAGACAAAGAATCTAAATAAAAATATTAATAATAAATTGATATGACGTTCAGAATAATAAACATTTTGTGTATTTTTTCCATAAGAAACAATCTTATCAATTATTAGATTGTGACATTCGATTAAAATGTAAATATTATTAATTTATCTAACCATTAATAACTTTTGTAATTTTCAACACTTACTAACCATTAATAACTTTTGTAATTTTCAACACTTATAGGTATCTTTCAAATTGTTTCATGTAATGTACGAGATGTGCGTAGTCATCAGTGCCATAGCTTATTTATACAAGATGGTAAGTATCGCTTAGTGAAAAAAGTCTCCTTTGTTGCCAAAAGAAACAAACAAATAAAAGTCAACACGCACTGAAAAAATCTAGTTAACATCCGCTAAAGGAATAAAGGATAGTACAGACCAATATACCAAAGTTGAAATGTTCAGAATTCTTGATAATCTGTGGTATCCTTTAGTCGTGAATCAAGTGCGGGCGTAGCAAAAGTTTGTTCATCGATTTTGAGCGGATGTTGCCTAACCATGGCATTACGTAAAAGCCTAATAGCATACTCTTGCGTCCGGTAATCTCGGAATTAGAGCAAAAGTTAAAAATTGATAAATGTAATAAAAATAGGTAAATCGTGAATGCATTTGGTGAAGTATCGTTCGAAATCCGCGGAGACGTTTTTGGTCGGCGCTGTACTTGGCCGTAGTAGATATTGCTAGTAAAAGTGCAACGACTCCATTTTATAAAAGTTGTGCATACACACATCCACGTAGAGGAGACACAAACAAGTACATATATACATATACACACGGCCATTATAAGAGAGTTACATACATATTTATTGTACACATACTCGGAGCGCTAAATCTGCTCGCATCGAGAGGCAAGATACGCGACTGCCGTGCGCCAGAAAGAGAGGACCGGTTTTAGCGGCGTTGCCAGCTCGGGCATATCGCGGGCGACAAAACGGATTGTCCGCAAATGAAGTATCAAAACAAACGAAAAAAAAAAATTTAAATTAAAAAAATATATATATAAAAAACATTAATCTAAAGTTAAACGCTAAATAAAAGTAATATAATTTAGTAACTAATCGGTGTTAAAATTGAATGTTTCAGCTCACCCTAGCGCCAATGAAGCGCGCCTCGAGGAGCTCCTGTTTCCGGGGGTCGAGCGCCGCCTGGAAATGCTCCATCTTCACGCCAGCGCCTGCAACAATGTTAACAGCAATGATATAACTCTGTGTGGCGGCTGATGATATTGCATTTACAGGTGGTGACAAGGAGAGAGAGAGAGAGTGAGAAGGAAACGAGATGAAACCGTGCGAGAAGAGAAACAGAAACGGGATGATCCGAAAATAGCTATTCAACGGAGACGACGAATCCATCCAGCAGCATCGAGAGACCAACTACTACCAAACAAAACAAAAAAAGAAAAATCCTCCCCCGCGTAGAGCAGTCGCATCGCAACGCATCGTGGTGAGAAGACGAAGATGGAGTAAAATGGGCATAATAGTAGAATGGAAGCAAACAAAAGCGGCGAAACGTGTATAAAACGCGCACACCACAATTATATACCTGACATTTAAATATAGCGCGCATTCCTTGGCAACGCACCAAAAACCGAATCGCGACTTTCTATTTTACGGATTGAATGTTTTTCCGCACCGGCGTGTCGCGTCGAGGAGCATTTTCATTCCTTTCTTGCCGCTCTTCCCTCCTTCCTCTTTCATTCTTCGCGGCAGGAAGGGAAAGAAATAAAGTGGAAGAATGAGAACTACCGGAGAGAAACGGGGTTGGATGGATCGTAACAGCTGTTATGACCGAGGGGGATTCGGGTCACACCCCAGGTAAGGTAAAAATCCTCGCGTTGATGCAACGAGAGCTTTCGTTGGCAACGTAGCACTTTCGAACTAATTGATTTACAATGAAAACCCGACGCACACAACACATATATATACGACGCGTTTCTATTTCGATTTCGCCCCAGAATCAAAGAGAACGAACCTCAGAGCGCCGCGCGCGCCCATAATTCACACCGAAAAACCCCATCTCCTTTCAACTCTCCTATTCCCATTCCTGCATTTTCAAAGTACATCTCCGCATTTACTTTTCATTTTAATTCTTCTTTTTACATTTTCATTATTATTTGCTTAATTACGCGCGCACACAAAAGAGTGCGACTCGCTTATTTCAAGGCTCTTTTGGTACATTTACACCACGGTTCGCGTGTCTGTGTATATATGCATATTACGTATACACGATCAAGGTGTTTGTGGGACAATTAAGCCGAGCGAGCCGTTACTGGAACGAAGTGCAATCGTGCAAGACCGTTACAGAGCCGACGACGCGCGACCTTTCCCGATATCACACGATCCTAACTTTAACACACTTAAAACTAGCCAAGTAACTTATAAAGTATATGCACCGCGATTATGTAAATACTAGTCAAGTATTTATTCCAATTGACTTGCGCAATTACGAGTAATCACGTGAATCCCGTAGCATGTGGTGTAGCTACTAAGTAAATAGTGTGTAACGTGTCCTACTTTTAGATATATTTTTTTACACATAATTTGATTTCTAAATAATATTAAAACCAAAATTAAATAAGAGTACGTTTTGAGGTGTCTTCACACTATACAATACTAAACAAGTGGTTCAGTCGTGCAAAACCATTTCCGAACCAATGACTTTACTTTTACACAAATTTTATTTTTGACAAATAGACACAACTTTAAAACAATATTAGTTTATCAAATTATCAAGTACATATACTAGCAGCGCGATTAAGTAAATACTTGTGAAGCATTTATTCCAATTGAATTGCAAATACAATTGACGAGTTGTATCCCGTTGTACACACTACGCATTACTAGGCAAATATTGTGTAACGTGAAGCCAATTTTAGATCAATCAATTTATGATTTCCGAAGAATACGTCAACATTATGGAATGCCAGTCGATTGAAGTATCGATTTATGTTGTTGCTACGAACAAAATACAATTTTTAATTTAAAAATTGAAGCGATAAAATATTATCTGCAACGATTGATTATTACAGAAACAAAACTGACAAACTGAAGTTTCTCTCATGTGATGTGGATGGATCACGATAGAGAAAGCAAATATTTCCTTAGAACATTTAACAAGAATTCTTCAACCATTAGAATTGCACAGAAGATGAAATAGAAACGTATTTAACAGCATAGCAGTGTATTATCCCTTACATCGTCCCAAAAACGGAGGAAATGCAACGTGTAGTTAGTTATAAATATATAAAGATGGTATTGGACTGTAATGCGAGAAATATAAGCAGAAAATAAAAATCGAATATCGATTAACATTAATAGTGACAAGGTATTCAGATGTATAAAGATTCAATATCTATAGAATATAGAATTAGATTGTAATTTAATTCAATTTAAAAGATATTATGACGTAGAGGATATAGAAAAGCTGTATGTGCATTACAAATGCTTGAGAAACATTATACAATAGAATGCTAGATTTTTTAGTGGACAAAATCGAAAAGGTTATCATTAATGAATTACAAAAATAAGCTCGATCATTGTATAAATTATAATAACATATCCTAAATTTAATATTTAATTCATACTTTGAAGATCTTTAAATAAAATGTTAATTTATGCATGTAGCAATTATATATTTTTTTTTAAATTTTTGGACAGAATGTTTCAATTTCTATGTTTGAAAACGTAGAAATAAAACGTTGATAACTAAACTAAAGCAATGATATTGTGTAATAAACGTGAAAATCCGTTGCAACGATGTGCGAACACGATTCAAATCGACCTTAAAACCTTCGGCTTAGTTTGCTCGATTGCAATCAAGCCTATTTACAGGGGAATAGTGACCTGAGCTAGTGTAGCATATGTTCAAACATCAAATATCAAAAGTGAATCAATTCCTCTTTTTTTTTCTGACAATTACCATATGCTATATCCTGTATAAACTAGTGATATCTAAAACATATTATACATTATTGGCGACAAATAAAGCTGTTCATTTTCTATAATCATTCGCAATTGTTAACATTTCGATGTGAAATCACGTCGATGTAAAGCGAATCACGCTTTGAATAATTATATCCTTGTGACAACGGTCGATAATGATCTACACTGTTTAGTTTATTGTACAATTATCAGTTAATACAACTGAATTAAACGAAATGTTGTCTTTTTCAAATTAATATTAAAATTCAACATTTCATTAACATGATTCACATAAATATGCATTCAAGCATATTTGAAAAATGAACAATGGTTAAAAACGATTGAATTAATCAAACTATTTAAATACAATAAAAAATTACAATAAAAATGATACCAATGCTTCACTTATTACACATAATATTTGCCATACGATGCGGCAATTTGACAAGTAAATTGACTTGACATTTATATGAATTCATGTTGACACGTAAAATCACGACTGACAGTTTGAGGTTATCACTTAACCGACGATTAGTTTACGAGCGAACTGAAACGATCGGACTTTACAAAATTAACTTCGAGCGATTCTCGTAAACTTTGGCGCGATTTTGCACGGTCACAAACGATTTTGCACGACCGAAACCGAATCCCTGCTACTAATTTAATTTTCTGTTAACTTTTTACCTGAGTTTACCTTTTATTTTCTTAAATCTGAGCCATTTTGAAGTACAAACTTCACGGCATTTTACCACATTTGTTACAATTCAAACCGCTATTGTTAAGTTCTATATAAACTATTTTGTAAATGTAAGATTTTCACTATCATTAGAGGCAGTAATATAGGAGATTTGATATATTGTATAGTAAATCAAATGAACACATTTATCTATGCAGATTTTATAAAGAAATCATTCGGTCTGTAGAGATTTCCTCTCTACGAGTTTTTTTTTGGTACATATCAAATCGACGGTGAGTGGGCATAATCAATAGGGGTCGCTTCCGCTTTTAGACTTTTTCGCGCAATTTTGCGACTGCTCCACCATCTGGCGGCCGAGTGCAATTGGGGGGCAGTTTGCCACCCCCCGGCGGACCACCAGAGAATGAGACCCCCGACCTACCGACGGTTGCCGTATTTGTATGTGTGTGTGTGAGTATGTACATATATTTATATAGGATAGGTGTGTATGTGTTATATGGCACCATACCAATACCGCCACCACCGCCGCCTCTCTCGGTCTCTCGCACCGTTCCCCGCGACCGCCGCCTCCTTTTCACCCACTGGGACTGGTGGGTGTTTAGGTGGTGCCCCCTATGTATATGCTATGTACAAGTGTACGTATATGTGTGTGTGTGTGTGCAAAGTACAGGCGGGGCGGAGGCGATGGAAGAGGTGGCGTCGGGGGCCAACAATCCACCGCCCACCGTGGCACAAATCCCCCAGCCGCCCCCCGATCAATGTTGACACGCCGGTCCAAGACGCCGACAACCCGCCATATTTGCAATTCCCATACACAGATCACAGGATTTTTCCGCATTTAATCGCCTCCTCCGCCCTTTTCTTTTCGAATCGGAAAATGCTATTGCCAACAACCACAAGACCATCGCCCGAATGCATTAATAAATCCGCATGAATATTTTGTTATTTGCATGAATATTAATAGCGAGAAACTTTAAACACACTGCATTGTAATAACACACACACACAATATTAAATCGATTCCAATTAATATATATAAATATAAACGTGCATACGTAACGCAAATAAATGCGTTTTAATAATAATCATCAACAGTGATTAATATTTCTCGATTAAGTCCACTTGCCGTAATCACACAATCAATTTCAATTTAAAACAGTACTTTTTTCAAAATTTAAATTCACCCATTTCCGGATTTCTTCGCATCTATAAATACAATATACTGTATCAATCAATCGAATTACTAATTTCTCTTGTCATTATTATGATTGTTAATACGTAATGTAGTTCATTTTCAATCCTAATATATTTCCAATAAATACGAGTTCCTCCTTGTTTTAATCGAAAAATATTAGCTCGTTGTTTGATTAATTCATTTCAGAGATTTTAAATCATCGCCACATGTTGCACAAGTATCCGATGGAGAATGCATGTATGTAAATGTTTAAATACCGATATTTATTATTTGAGCACTATAATGATTTTCTACTTCACATCTACTTTTAATTGAAAATATAATTATATATTATTATTTTGATAACATATTTTTCTGGCTTTTAATAATTAAACGGAAATCTGTAAAAATAATATATATTTTTAACATAAATTGCATTGAGTGTCAAATGTTAAATTACTATAGTAAATTTAGTAAGCATTTAAAATGAGAGTTAATCTTCTATATTTTGATTTAAACAGATACTTTCGAGTTAATTCAAGCATGCGCATTATATACGGGTACGTATTATCTTATATGAATAGTATTGAAAGCAAACAAAATGCAGGTATAAAAGATAGAGAGAATGCAACAGTTATAATAGTGAATATTGACCTTCGGTGTACGTTGAAACTTTATTCCTAAGCTTTACCCTTTTGGATCTACGTCTCTCGGCCATGACGGTGATTTCGTGGAATCCCATGCCGCCGGACGATGGAAACGGTAGAACCGAGGGAGAAGAGAATCGCGGTGGCCCCCGGAATGAGCAAAAATCTATTGGAGGGATGGCTTACATAACGCGGGTGGATGGTGTGCCGCCACCGCCGGTGCAACGGCTCACACACATTCAAACCAAAAGAGTGTGAGTGAGGGAGGGAGACAGTGAGATGGTTATACCCGGGGGGGAGATCGATATCTAACAAAGTCGGATGAAAGGAAAGGTTGACTATGACTATTCCATCACGTTTCCATCTTCCTCTGGCTCACGGGGCGCGAGAGATCGGATGCGGCCGCGGAGCGAGACGGACGCGAGAAGGGCCGACGAGGGAGGCGGCGGGTGGTGTGGCGACGGATGGATGGAGGGCACGGTAGGCAGAACGACTCGGAAAGCTCCTAGCACCCTCTCTCTCACACACACTCTGCTGTACTCTTGCTATCCCGCAGCGTCTGGCCCTCTCGTGCACACGTACGTACAGAGAGCAGATAGATACAACCACCCCCGCACACCAGGAGACGCTGTCCACAATCCCGGGGATAATAGTGTAAATAGTGTGTACGAGCGAGCGAGGCAGACGGAAAGCACAGTTTCGGGCGTGGCTGCATATCATTGCATAACAAATTGCTCATTACTTCGTAACCATCGAAATCCCGTGGCGGCATCGACGTTCCTTCGATTCGCGAGTTAGCGAAGATGATGGGGGATGAGTAATAAGGAATTGGATTATGGGAGGATGTTTCTTAATAGTATTTTTCAATTGCTTTTATGACATGATCTGATGACTTAAGCTACGTTAGGCAAGTTCAGTTGAGACTTACCGAAAGGGCGAGATACGCGCATGGGGGGATGCATAAACTTTGACTCACCTGAAACAGAAAAGAGTTAAGAACAAACAAATGCATTGGCTGGTTAAATAATTTTGGTGTTTGTACATCCATGCATATTTTAATGGTAGTCTATGTAAACAGGTGAGGAGACCGCGGTCAACGGAATTCCGGATACGTACAGATCCAGAGGGGGATGGACGTTTCGGTCGAGCTGACCCAAATATCGGTTTTTGGCGAGATTGATTTCTCGGTCGCGGGAATACTCCTTCCGTCCTTCCCCGCACTCTCGTCGACTATCTCTTTCCATCTCCCGTCCCCGCAACCGCCTCTCCACAACATGCACGTGTTGTATATATTTATCTCTGTATGTGTGTGAGCGTATTTTATATATATATATATACACGTATATATGTGAGTGTGTGCATACCGTTTGGGGAGATTTTGCGCCGAATCGCATCTCGTGTCTTTCCGCCTTCAAAACAAACATGTCGGAAGGCATGATCCGTCAACGTCACATCCCCTTTAAGAGCGACGCGCCGGCCGAGATACGCTCGACTTCCGGTCGAGCCGGCCGCCGCTGCTGCATCCATTTCAAATACAATCGGTATTCTATTGGTCCTCGTGCAGAAATTTTCGAAAAGTTCCCGCCGCCACCTTTGAAGCTGACGGTGCTGCTGGTGTTGGTGGTGCCGCAGCCAAGCGCCGAATCTTTCCCATAGTCATTATATGCACCCACCGACGACGACGCGCTTTTGTGTAACAAATAAACTACATGAGCGCGCGCGAGATGAAATCGATCCGTTTTGTATGGTTATCCATCCTCTCGAGCCTCTCCTCCTCTGGCTCTGCTGCTCTGTATGTACCACCTGACCTTGCGGCCTCGACACTTTACTAAAATGGCCGTCGAATCAACACAAATCGACCACATCTTTTGCATCTACATTAATCCGGACCAGACACGTCGTTTTCCTAACGTTTCAATGGTAAAACACTTGATAGATAACGCGATACTTGCTAAGTTATTTGTCCAATATCATAAAGTATATACTGCTAATTCCCAATGACTACTTTAGCTTATTTTAATATAGAAAAGTAAATAGAATCTTGTCAACGTATTCCAAAAAAAACACAACATATGTAACAACAAATCATAGGAATGTATTTTTTAAAATATTCTATATCAGACATTCTGAAAAATCGCGAAATTACACCTGCACCGTGCTTTAGTAAAAAAAAAATGATGTTGTAAACAATTAGGTGGCAGTTATTTTATAATAATAATAAATAAATATTTTGCATATTTTAAGAAAAAACATCATTTGAATTCGATATAAACAATTTATAAATTCGTTTCTAATAATAGTCATTTTATTTTCTTTTTGGACATTTTAAGAAAAAAAAAAGTATAATTCTGAAAGAATTTTAAATCGATGATTTTATACAAAATTGATACGTTGATTTGTACTGATAATTCATATTTATTAAACTTTTCGTCTAATTTACTTGCAACTCTGACATAAACATCCTATAAAATATAATACACATATTTTATACTCATTTTTAGAATGAGGTGGGTATTTCATACACTAATAATAATGAAACAAAAAGTAGCAAAGGGTAATTGACTATAGGTAGTTCTGCCTTGTTTTAGTTTAACACACATTTATTATAATGTATATTATGTGTTAATTATAAAATCAATTGCAATTAACAATAAAATAGTATATAAAACAATATCGAATTCCATACATTAACTGAAGCTTGTTTGTATAATTATATGTTTGAATTCAATATATTCAGCTTTTTCGTAGATGGTTTAAAGAGCACTGCAATTCAACAGTAGTTTTAAACAGATTTCAATAAAAATGATGGATTACATTGAATAATTCTGCATATTCCGAAATTAACTTTTATATATTTCTATTCGAACACGTATATATGCCTTTTATATGATAGTTTCCTAGAATTCGATACCATTATCTAAATGTGCTTTTCGATAAATACAAATTCCATAACTACAAAAAATACAACTGAACCTTATCAATTTGTTGAATGAATACACTAAAAACATGTTTTAAAGTTATATTTATACTGTGATTATTGTAGACTATAATTTCATAATAAATTGGTGATAAACTAGTAATTTGGATTACCTCCAAATATATCTCTACTAAATTAAAAAAAACTGCAATTTTATTGTAAAAATAAAAAAAACTTATTTACCAGAAATCTTAAAAAAAAAGTGAATGCAATTCGAGAAACTTTTGCAGTTATAAACTTTAGAAGTAATATATAGGTCAAATTAGGTAAGAAGTTTCACATTATATTAAATTTGTATTCATATAAATATTATTGAATGTTCTAATAAGTATGTTTTAAATATAATAAAAAAATGTAATTATTGAAAAGAAAACGTAAATATTGATTATTCCGCGAATGACTCCGAAGACCACACGAGCGTTCTAACAAAATACTAATATAAACAGTGGTTTCACGAGATGACAACAAACATTTAATCACTTAATTCTTCACAAGATCTTGAGTTGAAAACTTAAGAATTGGAAATCCTAATTACAACATTTATAATATATCCACTCATTTGATAAATTGAGTGATTAAAATTTTAATCAAAGTTATATTTGAAATTATTCAAATATCGATTAGTCGCCGAATAACAGCGAAGACCACACGAGCGCGCTCACAAAAAAATACCGACATAACAGTGGTTTCACGAACTGACCACAAACTTTTAACGACTGCCCAATTATTCACAACTCGTTATAAAAAGTTATAATTAGGGTTTAGGTTGCTCGCCGCCTACCATAAAACAGTCAGCAATTGTTTAAACCTTGGAAGTTGTTTAATTTTCAGAAGAAAAACATACATTTATTTTCTTTTGTATTCTCATGTGGACAAGATGTGACATTATTAAAACGGAGCCTTACCCATCTAGACTAAAATCCGGGCGGTAATCATAGACACTTTATATTAACGAAACAAATGTATATCCTTTGCACGTGTCACTATACGTCACCGTACTGGTTGGGAAACACTGACTGATGTAGGGGGTGCGAACTTTTGGGTATATTCCTTCCGCGCACGCAGGTTCGGATATCAGGATAACAGCATTACAGAATTGGCTCTTAATTGGTCGAATGGAAGCCAAGGTTCGTGCAGCCGCACCAAAACTCTCGCACACATACAGCGTCGTAGTCGTCGTCGTCGGAGATCACGTGTCAATGACAATTGCGGACGCAGTCTGAATTTTAAATAATGCGCATTTTGGTGGGGGCGGAAAATAAATGTCACCTGAAATTCGATTCATTTTGGGGCCATTTTCCTGCCGCCCGCTGCGTATGGGTACGGAAGGATATGTGATACCCTCCCCGCGCGCTCAGAGTTGTCGGCCAGGAATTTATTGATTGGGACTCTCTCTCTCTCCCCCTGGTTTCGTAGAGCCGGAGAGTTTCTGTTCTGTGCTGTTCCAAAGCAATGGGCCGACTTCTGGATTGCAAGGGCTGAGGTATGGGTTGAGCAGCGACAGGGTGAGAGGGCGAGAAAAGGGGGTGAGAGAGTGAGCCAGGCGGAGAGAGGGACGAGGACGGCCCACGTTGGACGCCTTTAATATGCTCCGAGACGGACGGACGAACGGCGACGTCGGTTGGTGCTGGTGCTTGTTCCGCCGCTGTTAGACCAAAGGGGATGTAAAATGTACTTCTGGTACAGTTTCACCAAAATAAAAAAAAGAACACACCAATGGGACACACACACCTCACCGATCAAATAAATGTTCGGAACAGGTCGAATGTTAAATTCAAAGCTACGTAAATACGACCAATTCGGATGCTCATTTATTCCGTGGTTTTGGGTCGTAAAATGATTTAAATTCAATATCGAAATTCGCTTGATGTGGTTCACTTGTCAACATCAATTACGCCTATATAATAATATGAATTAACCAATCAATTTAAAAGAATAACAGTAGTACAAATCAGAAGAGAATATATTATTACATCATATCAAAAATTATTTATCATTAGTTGCACGCAGCCATTTTTAGTTTCGATTAACAAAATAATGAAAATTATACAATGAAATGTAAAAAATATAGTTCAATAATCGACATTCATAATCTCATTGATGGTTACTAACAACAATACTAGAATATATGATTTTATAAATAAATATATCTTAATTTGATACGGATTCATGTATATACAACAATTTTTCAGCAGATAATATATACTAAAAACGTGGATTTAACAATCGGAATTCAGAAATATTAACTTATGATTACTAAACAAGTCAAATTGTGTACGTTATAAATCTACTTTAATTAATTGATTTTAATCCTAAGATGGAAATAATTCAACATATTTTTAGTTATATTTAATAAGTTTTGATACTTTAAAAAAAATGTAATTTTATGAAAACTTGATAATTTTTAAAACATATAATTGATATAATTGCAAGTTAAATACAATTATTGAATCTGGAATATGTAAGTTTGTCAATAGTAAAATATCTGAGAATGCACCTTGCTGTGACATCTATTTATAAGACAAGCAGATATACGTACAACTTGTTATTGTATCAGAAAATTCTATCGGTTGTTACATGAAAATGTATAAGTATTAAAAAGAACACAAGTTAATATTGCATAAAATCATTCTAAAACTTAGTTTGACCTATATAATAAAATAATGGCGAAAATCATCAAATTCAATATAGAAATGATTCAAAGGTTTTAGTTGGAACAGAAGACCAACAGCTCTTTGCAACAACTAATTTCTTTTTATTTTATTTTTATTATTATATTAAGATTTTATTTTTATTGTTTCAATAAATATTAATAATATTTATTGAAACTGTAAATATACAAAATAAAAAAAACTCAATACAATAATATAAATATCATAAATCAAAAAGTCAACTGCTTCAAAAGGCTATTGACCATAGGTCTTTCTGCCATAAATAAATATTATTATTTAGGTTTTAATGAATTGTTTAATTATTGTTTAAAATATACTAATTATATA